TAGTGGAGATTGTTCGAAGATCTGGACTAGAAAGTGATGTATCTGGTAGTTTAGACTGATTAAGTGTGGTAGGATCATTAGGAGGATAGACTGCATATTGGAATGTTAAGATGAAGGTAAAGTAGATAGAGGTATATGCCACACAGAAGGATTGAAAGAATGTGAATGAGAGTCAAATTGGACTAAATCATTAGAAGACAGAGAAACAAATGTGTTAGTGGATTGAAAAGGAAATTCAGTTTCATCAAAACTCACACTTTGATAGACATAAATGCGACCAGAGGGATCCAAACACTTATAGCCCTTGTGATGTAAACTATACCCAACAAAAGTGCATTTGGTAGTATGGAAATTGAATTTGTGACTGTTGTATGGTCAAGAAAGGGGTAAACAGCACAACCGAAGACTTTGATGGCCGAATAATTTGGTAAAGTGTGAAACAAAACCTGAAATAGAGATAAATGTGACAAAACTGGTGTGAGAAGTCTGTTGGTGAGATAGGTTGTAGTTTGAAATGCAAACCACCAGAATTTAAGCAGCATACAGGCTTAGGCAAGCAAGGTAAGACCTTGTTCCACAATTTGTCTATGTTTTTTCTCCACTCTACCATTTTGTTGGTGAGTGTGAGGACAGGGATGCCTAAAAAGAATGTCATGTTCTTGAAGGTAGGGAACTAAGCTTCTATATTCTCCACCCCAATCGGTTTGAACACATTTTATTGAGGTATCAAATTGTTTTTCAACCAAGGCATGAAGTTGCTTAAAAATAGCTTGAGTTTTAGATTTGGCTTTTAAAGGGAAAAGCCAAGTGAATCTACTGTGATCATCCAGAAATTGGATGTAATATTTGAACCTTTCAAGTGATGGGACTAAGGAAGGCCCCTAAAGGTCAAAGTATAGTAATTCTAAGGGTTTAGATGCATGAAATGGAGACCTGGGATAAGTTGACTGATGTAACTTCCCATACTTGCATGCTTGACAAAATGTAATGTCATTCTTAGTGTGATGAGGAATTTTTAATTCATTGAGGATTTTTGTAAGGACTGCCATATGTGGATGGCCAACCCTTTTATGCCATAATATAACATTGGTTTTTTGTTCTAGAAGAGACTCAAACTTATGTAGTTTATTGATAGTATTGTAATCAGTTACAGAGTGCATAGAATCTGAAGCAAAAGAGTCAGTATGTTGTACATTAGTGTTATTAAAAGGAATATTACATGTTGGAGTACAGTTATTAAAGGGAATAGAGATAGGAAACTGTGAGTGTTTGGTAGATGATGCAGGTACTATTTTATTAAAAGAGTGGAGAGATGAAGTAAGACAACTGCTTTTAGACTTGAAGTTGGGGTAAGAAGCCATGAAAGAAGAAGTGACTAGAGCTGGAACTTGTAGTCAATAGAGGCCATCTTTAAGCATTCCTTGAAGAAGAATGGCTTTGGAGATCTTGTCATTTACCACACATGAATCAGTAAAAAACTCAACCGAAACATCATTTTCTTTAGTTAGTTTAGACACACTAAGAAGATTCTTTGTGATATGCAAGACACATAAAACATTCCTAAGGTGTAAGACTCTATTTGGACAAAGTAAAGTAACAAAACCAGTATGAGTAATGGATAGAAGCTCACCATTTCCAACATGGAGTTGCTCACTACCTACATAGTTGGCATTGCCCATGAGTTGTGAGAAATCTAAGGTAACATGGTCTGTGGTTCCAGAGTCCATGTACCAACCACTATCTTGAACCATGGAAGGTGTAGCAATGTAGTTAATAGTTGTTGGAGTTTGTTTATACTGCTGAGACTGTGCAATCAATGCTTGATTGTGCATATGAGGAGATGTTGATGAGCTTGACTGGTTATTGGTGTTCACAGCCGTGGTTCCATGATCTGGAGTATGTTGTGAAGAAATTGATGAGCCTGACTATAATCCTGGTGCATAATGATGAGTTGTAGTTGCAAGATACTGATTTCCAGAACTGGGATACTGATGTTTAGGGTTAAAAGTAAGTGATCTTATATATCCAGGAGAATTAAAGTTGCCCCTAATCAATGAGATGTTTCTTGTGTAATTTACATCAAAATGGTGATAACAGTGTAGGGCCAAGTGTCATGTTTTGCCACATACTTGACAAATAGGTTTCCCTCTGCCACCTCCTCGGCCTCTTCCCCTGCCACCAAGAATCCTCCAGAAAGTTGTTAATTCTGGAACTGATTTTGAGGAGTGGAATATAAGAACTGATTTGGATTAGCAGTAAGGTGGGGCATTTGATTGAAAGTAGAAGGGTTAAATGAGGAGGTAGGATTAAAGGTAGAGATTTGGTGTCTAGGAGATGATGTTGTGTGAAAATGAGAAAATTCAGTAGGGAATGAAGAGGATTGATTGGTCCGTGATTTCTTGATATCATTATTAATGGAAAGAGTGGCTACATTGGCTAAACCACCATGGAATTCATTGTGAATAACTGAACTCATTGCAATATTTGCTCTTTCTAGCCTAAGCTCAAGTTTTTGTAACACAATTCGTGCTTCTTGGACAAAAATAGGGTCAATTTTTGACTCCAATCTAGTAGTAATGTTCACAACTGCAGCATCATATTTCGATTCTAGGCTATCTAAAATATAATTGAGAAGTTCCTCATCTGTTACAATGACTCCACTTGCAGTTAAATTTTCGGCAAAGCCTTTCATTTTTAGAAAGTAATTGTGCATACTCATATTTTCCTTTTTTGTGTTCTGTAAAAGACTCTTAACATGAAGAGTTTTGGCTCTTGATTCAGTGATGACTTCATTCTCTAAGGTGAGCCAAATATCAATAGCATACAAACACTTTGAAATTACAGCAAACATTGACTCTGAGATTGACGATAACAACCAACTAACCAGTAATTTGTCAGTTTTCTTCCAAAGAATATAATCAGGGTTAGGTTTTTTTATTACCTCTGAATTCAGATTATCTGATTGTGTTCTTATGAAAGGGGCAGGACAAGCAATCAAACCAATCAAGTGTTCTTCAAGATCGTGAGCTCCAACAGCAAATAACACCTGAGATTTCCAAAACTGATGATTATCATGAGTCAATTTTGGAGAAATAATTGGCAAAGTTGAAGAGGATATTGAAGATGAACTATCGAAGTTGACTATTTCAGACGTAGGTCTGGAGTTTGTATTCTTGTCAGTTTTGCTAATGAGAGAAGAAAAGGAAGAGGAATCAGCCATTGTAACGTTTGTCGATGGCTCTGATACCAAATGAGAAATCAGGTTTCTGATTTGATGCAAGAAACTGTAGGAAAATTAAAGAGAAAATTTTAAGGGAGAGAGAGTAATCGGTTTTCTTTCTTATTATTCAATAACCGCTAAAGCGTTGTATGTATACAAAACTGCATTAACAAGCTTAATGCATGTGATTAATAGAATAACAGAAACATAAAACAATTTTAACAAACTCTCTAACAGTGAGCTCTTGACAGTCAACGCGAGTCAAAGCTTCAGCATTTTCTCATCCTAATAGGGTTTCATTATTATTAATAATTACTCCCTACGTTTCGAAATAAACATCGTTTTAACTTTATTATTTTTTTCCAAAATAAATTTTGTTTGACCAAAAAATTACACAACCCTCTCTCTCTTTCTCGACGTATGGCCCCTGTCTTCTATCTCTCTTTCTCTTTCTCGGGCCCCTCGTGTCCTCTCTCTCTTTTTCTTTCCCTGGCCCCTCATCTCCTCTCTTTCTTTCTCTTTCAAACGCCATTTAACACAACTTTCCCATCATTGCTTTTTCTTCATTGCATTTTTCTTTAACAATTTCTTTTCTTTCTCTCCATTTTCAGCTCCAGCTCTTATACAGCTTCTGGAAAATTTGAAAATGAAGGCTAATCCTTTGTATCCACAAGTCATATTAGTCTTTCTTTTCATTCTTAAAAGCGGATACATTTTTTGCTATTTTGCTACCTTTGTTCATCTGTGATGTTTTTTCGGCTCACATGCGTATTAACTTCCTCAGCTATGTCATCAACTTCATTCGCAGCTTCTAATGTTGGAAGAACATTCAAATCGATTTCCCCAAGCACACTTCTACTATAACATTGTTCAGCCATGGTGAGTAGCAAAAAAACAAAGATGGAAGAGATGAAAGAGTAGTACACTTTAACACTTTTACATAGGCGGGGAAACCAACAAATTTCCTATCGCACTTTCAGAAAGAGGAATCAATAAGAGATGGAGTAGGAGAGAGAAAATTTGTTTACATTAAAAAAAAAAAAAAATTAGTTTATTATAAAAAGTGTGCAATTGCTTAAAACGGCTTTTATTTCGGAACGGAGGGAGTAAATGACTTGATTTCATCTTATTTTTTATTTTTATTTTTTAGGGATCTAAGGTATTCAAACTCACATTTGAGCATGTTTAATCCTTATGGTCACGAAACACTCTACAAGTCCAATGAATTAAGATAATTGCACAAATGTGGTACATATCTCTCATGCGTCTCAAACACAAGATCTCCTAGGTCTAGCTAAGCCCAGAGGTATTATCGTCAGTGCTCTCTGCTCTATTAATTAATAAACCAGAATTGAGACTTCTTCTTAGTAGGAGTTCTTAAAAAAAAAAAAAAAAAAAAAAAAAAAAAAAAAAAAAAAATTGCATCATCTTGGGGTAATTCCTTGGTTTCTTGTTTTTATAACACTAACATTTAAAATTGACCTTATACAAAATAAATAAAAATAGAATAAACACAAATAGTTGATTAATTAATTTCTTTTTAATTTGAAACTCAGCGGTATTATTTTTTTAATATAATTGACAGAAGATTACAGCTTTTGAAAACAAATATACAAAAACTCTATTCACTGAACCTGTTTTTTTCTTGCATTACAATCGCTAATGTATGTTATTAGTTATGATTATCATTCATATATAATTATATTTCATGCAGTATAAAATTGACTGCTTCAAGGTTTAAATTTGTCAAATATTTAATGGAGAGACACGTAAAGGCAAAATGGCCAACATTTGGCCTCATTTGGTCTGTGCATTGGCAATATGTTTGGTAGCTACCAATATTGTTGTTGCTGATTATGACTATAAGCCTTACACTTATGCATCACCATCACCTTATTACTATAAATCACCGTATTCATATCATTACAAGTCTCCTCCACCACCTTCTCCGCCTCCACCTCATTACTATTACAAGTTGCCGCCACCACCACGCAACTCGTCTCCACCTCCTTATTACTATAAATCACCTCCACCTCCAAAAGCATCTCCTCCACCCCAGTATTACTACAAGTCACCACCTCCACCGTCTCCATCACCAAGTCCTCCATATGTCTACAAATCACCACCTCCACCTTCTCCTTCACCACCTCCGCCATATGTCTATAAGTCACCGCCACCTCCATCACCATCACCTCCTCCTCCATATGTGTACAAATCTCCTCCCCCACCATCTCCATCACCTCCACCTCCTTATGTTTACAAGTCCCCACCTCCTGCATCTCCCTCTCCTCCTCCACACCTTTACAAGTCGCCACCACCACCTTCTCCTTCATCCCCTCCTCCATACATTTATAAGTCACCCCCACCCCCATCTCCATCACCACCTCCTTCATATGTCCACAAATCACCACCACCACCCTCGCCTTCACCTCCTCCTCCATACATTTATAAGTCTCCTCCACTACCTTCTCCATCACCTCCTCCTCCATACATTTACAAGTCAGCTCCTCCATGTAACGCCCCGCTTGAGGTACGTTGTTATTGTTTCCTCTTTTGCCCTTAATCGAGTTGGTTTTTGTCATTATTGTTTGATTGAGTGTTGTGTTGAATGTTTGCCTTGAAAATTGGTTGAAAACAGAAGAAGTTCAGTCTGCCGTGCTTCGCCGGGGCGAAGAAGAAGCTTCGCCGCGGCGAAGATGTGTTGAAACCAAGGGAAACTCCCTGGACAGTTTCGCCGCGGTGACAGAGGTTTCTTCGCCGCGGCGACAGGCCGAATAAAAGGTTGATTGAGTTTTAGATATTGTCTTCCTTAAGGACAATTTGACCATTCTACCCCTAATTAGCAGGAAAAGTGGGGAGTTAATTGTAAGGATTTTTCATGGAGAATAGGTTGAGTTAGGGGTGAGTTTGTAATGAATCAAAGGATATGAATGGAATTCCCAAAGTAGAACAAGGGCAAAAATGGGAATGAGTGTGTTTATATTTCATTAAAAGGAATTAGAATCAAAGAAACCCCTCATTTTCTTCTTCTCAAAGTGACTCTTCATTCTCTCCTCTCAACTTCTATTTTCTTTTGATCAAAGTTTTCAAGGGGTTTTTGAAGTGATTTGGAGTAGAAAAGAACCTAGGGCTTCCTAAGGTAAGGATTTCTCCTTAAGTTGTGATATTTGTGAGTTTAGTTCATTTTGGTGTGTGAGGGTTTTCATTCTTTTGGTTAAGATTAGAGGAGAAATCAAGCTAAACAAGTGAAAGGAAGAGTTTGTGAAGTCTCTCCTTAACAAGGTAAGTAAAACCCAACCCAAGTTGAGATTTATGAATTTTCTTGATTAGGGTTTTAATAGAAATGATGTATGTATGTGATGTGCATGTAATATCATGTATGAAGGATTAAATAGAGATTTCTATGCTTTGTGATTGTTTATACCTTGCAAATTTGAGAAATGGGTGTTGGTTTGGCAAGGTAGTTGAGATGGAATTAGGGGTATTATGTATCCCTTTTTGGAAGGTTTTCTATGGCAGGTTTTGTGGCTTTGTGAAGGGGTTTTTCCCCATTTTGGATGGTTAAGAAAAGTTTTAGAATCATGGCTATGATAGAGTTTTATAGTGCACTGAGGTTTGATGAAATGCCTAATAGAGGTTTGAGTGTGAGTAATGAACCTTAATCTTGCAACTTGCATGTTGGCATCTCATAAGTGCATTGGTGAAGATGAACCATCCATAGGCACTAGTTGTACATGGAAAAGTGACCTAAGAAAGTGTAAGGAAATGGTGTATGCATTACCCTATGAGTAGAGAGCTTAGTGGGTAAAATTGCTCTAGGGTAGAGAGCATTGAAAAAGCTACAATAAAATGATTAGAAGAGTAGTATAGTTGGGATGATGCTTTGTGATCATCACTCGACCGTTATGGGAATCGGATTGATGCTTTGTGATCATCATCCGAATAGCCTTAGAGAGATGGGTCGATGCTTTGTGACGTCACCCAATGAGTAATAGAAATGGGGTAGATGCTTTGTGACCACTATCCGGTTAGTTAAGAGATAGGTAAGTTGATGCTTTGTGATCATCATCCAACGGCAGTAGAAGCGGGTTGATGCTTTGTGACCATCACCCGATAGTGACTAGAGACGGGTAAATGCTGGTGATCGTTACCAAAATCCATGAGGAACGGGTAGGTGCTAGGTGATCTCCACCCGATAGTTAGGAGGAACCGAGGTGGTGCTTTGTGATCTCACTCGGTAGTCACTAAGAAGGGTTGGTACTGTGTGGAATTCCACCGATAGCTATAGAGAGTGAGATGGTGCTGTGTGAACGCCATCCGGCGTGACCTCGGTAAGATGAGGCCATGATGTTATTAGAAACAGAAACAGAATTAGAAAAGGAAAGAATTAAGAGTTACACACGGGGACAGACAGTTAGAGAGTTTTACTTACTGAGCATTATTTGTGCTCACCCCGTTATTTTCCTTTGTGGATGCAGGTTCTAGGTGATGATGCAGTCGGAGGGGCGTCGGCAAGCGAAGAGGAATAGCTACACTGTTTCCCCTGTTTTGTCTTTTAAAATGCATTTTTGTAAACAGTACTATTTGTGTATAAAAGACATATGTATTATTAATGAAAAGAAAACTTTGGGCCCAACTTTTCTATTATTATTATGCATGCATTGTACAGTTTTCAGTAGATGTTACACTCCACCATCACCATCACCTTCTCCTCCTTATGTGTACAAACCCCCACCTCCTCCCTCTCCATCCCCTCCACCTCCTTACTACTATAAGTCTCCACCTCCACCATCTCCCTCACCCCCTCCTCCCTACCATTACAAATCACCACCACCACCACCTTCTCCTTCACCTCCACCACCTTATTACTACAACTCCCCGCCACCACCCAAAGTTTACTAAACAAGTTACTGTTTCCACTCGGAGCAAGTCCACTCCATCAAAGCACAATGTTGACAGACAATATTTGTTGACTACATTCTGGAGCCAGATTTTTTTACTTTAATGCAACACTTCATTATTGTAAACTTCTTTGAAGCATTTCAATTTTCACTTGTATTTTTACGTAGTCTTACTTCTGATGTTACACATTTCTTCTATTCAATAAATTAATACTTCGATTATAAAGTTTAAACTATTAGATAAAGTTCAAACAATTTTACCTGGTTCTTAAATATCAAGAAATTAAGTTCCAGCCTGCAGGTGAACGTTTGCAATATTAATTTAATGAACTAAGATGATAACTTTCTAATCAACTATAACAATTAAGAGTCAATTACACAATAATTATTTGTGCCTCAAGAACAGAAACATTTTGATAAAATAACGTGAAGACTTTTAGGAGAACATGTGGGCACAAATATTGGACGACAGAAATACTTCTTTTTTTATTATGACCGAGGTGTCTAGGCCAGTTTATGCGCACCTCAATTAATCTCCGTGCCCCTAAACTACCGATCGGGTAAGAGTTCTAGTGATCACCCCTATTAGCAATCGAGGAGAAACTCGAAATTATGATCTCTTGAGTAATACACCTAAGAGTCCCTATCAAACTACTCATTCACCCAGAGATTGGTTAGCATACATAAATACTTTCGTTTAGCTAAAAATGGAAACGTCTTATTACCATAATCTCTAATCAAATTAAGAATTCATCATGTTGAAAATTTCAACACGTGACAATTAAGTTGAAATTTTCAACACAGTGATAGTGTTACCGCAATATCACCTATATATAAAACATTATTTGATATCATGATGTATGCAAAACCAATGTATTATTTTGTCAAAATAATTATAAAAATGAACTTCCTCAAATATGCTGTATAGTAGCTGTCTTTTTTCTTATTTATTTGTTTATAACCGCGGTTCCCTTTCATGCAGCAAAACTCTATAGAAATATATTATTTAGATATGTCAAGTGAGTCATTCTGAAAATGGTAAAATTCAATTTATTTATTTTTTCTTAAAAGATCAAACTCATAACCTCAATAATCTTTGGAAAAATTATGATACGCCGGTAAGGTTTGGGGGAATAATTTGTAACGCCCCACTTGAGGTATGTAGTTAAATTATTGTTGCATTGCTTGAATGTTTATTGATTTGCTCTCATTTGAGCTTGCATGTTGTTATTTTTGGTTGGTTGGCCCTTAGTTGAATTTTGTTAAAGTTATTTTGAGAAAAATGTGAAGAAAATCTCTTAAACTTTCATTAGGGGTAAAATGGTCTTTTCACTCAAAATTAGTTGAAAAATTGGAGAGTGAAAAGAGATAGAATTTCATAGAGAATGTAATAAAAATGAGGGCATTATTGTAATTGACTAAGGGACATAGATGGAATTTTCAAGAAAGAGCAAGGGCAAAATGGGAATGATTGTACGTAAGTTGAGCTAAAAAGGGTTTAAGTGTTGAAAGCCCTTCATTCTTCACCATCTCCACCGCCATTCTCATTCCCTAATTTCTCTCAATCCTCCACTCAATCTTCTAAGAATTTCTAAGGATTTTTTGAGTAGTTTTTAGTAGAGATTTAATCTAAAGCATCCTAAGGTAAGGATTCTTGCTTTAGATGAGAATTTGCTTATGATTTGTTAAAGTCTTATGTTGTTATTGTTTAAACTTGTAGATAGAAGACAAGATACAAAAGGGAAGGAGAAGTGCTAGAGAAGCCATTTACCCATAANTTATTTTTGGTTGGTTGGCCCTTAGTTGAATTTTGTTAAAGTTATTTTGAGAAAAATGTGAAGAAAATCCCTTAAACTTTCATTAGGGGTAAAATGGTCTTTTCACTCAAAATTAGTTGAAAAATTGGGGAGTGAAAAGAGATAGAATTTCATGGAGAATGTAATAAAATGAGGGCATTATTGTAATTGACTAAGGGACATAGATGAAATTTCCAAGAAAGAGCAAGGGCAAAATGGGAATGATTGTATGTAAGTTGAGCTAAAAAGGGTTTAAGTGTTGAAAGCTCTTCATTCTTCACCATCTCCACCGCCATTCTCATCCCTAATTTCTCTCAATCCTTCACTCAATCTTCCAAGAATTTCTAAGGATTTTTTGAGTAGTTTTTAGTAGAGATTTAATCTAAAGCATCCTAAGGTAAGGATTCTTGCTTTAGATGAGAATTTTCTTATGATTTGTTAAAGTCTTATGTTGTTATTGTTTAAACTTGTAGATAGAAGACAAGATACAAAAGGGAAGGAGAAGTGCTAGAGAAGCCATTTACCCATAAGGTAAGTAAATCTAACCTAAGTTAAGGTTCAAGCAATCAAATGATTGATATGCATGCTTATGTTTATGAGCTTGAGATTGATTGTTGAGAATGATATTATTGATGAGTTGATGGCTTTTGATGAGAAGATTTAAGACATGAGAAGAAGAAATGAAGTTGTGGTAACCAAGTGAAGTTTGGTTACATTTAGAAAGAATTTAAGTAGAATATTTGAAATGTTTTTCTTGGACATGTTTAGATTTATTATGGAGGAGTTTTGCTCCATGAATGGATGGTTAAAGAAAGAAGTAGAGATGTATCAAAAATAGAATTAAAGTATGCATGCATTATGTTTGATGAAATGCCTAAGTGAAAAGCTTAAGTGAAAATTGCCCTGTCACAGCCGTGACATTCTGAATGATTTTGTGGCATCTTACAAATTGAACTGGGTTGATACCAAAACATAAAAGTTGTAGCCCTGCCTCTAAGCTTTAAAACAAGACCAAAATTGTAGCAATCTGATATGTATAACTCAAGTTATGCTTTCTTGAGTGTGACCTATGCAGAATGACTATCTTGATGCAACATTGCATTTGTGTATTTCATGAGTGCATTAATGAGCATGAATCATCCATATGCATTAATTATGCATTAGAGAAAGAGTAGAGAACTTTGAGTGTGAGCTTTATTAAGAGAAAAGAGAGAAAAAGAGAATAGAGTAGGTTGTGCGATGGGGAACCCTTGAGTAATGGGTAGAGTATTCCCGCATGTACGCCGCATTGAGAGAGCGGCATAAGTATGAGAGAGAGAAATGGTGTAGCCCGTGAGAGTGCATGCGGATGAGGGCTATACCCGAGAGTACCCGAGAGAGAGATTATATACTCACATGGCCAAGGGTTCCGAATCCATGCAGAACCGAGTCCGATTGGCTAAGAACGAGTAGAAGTCATGGAGAGCGGGAGCGAGTCCCGGCCGTGCCCCCGATAAGATGGGGCCGTGACTTACTAAAGAGAGTTAGTAGAAAAGAGTTCTAAGAAAGAGAAACAGAAAGAGAAAACAGAGAGAAGTATAAAAGAGAGAGTAAATGAGAATTGTAAGGAAAGACTTAGAGAGAGAGAGTTACGGGGATAGATGACTAGAGGGTTTACTTACTGAGCATTATTTGTGCTCACCCCGTTGTCTTTCTATGTTTTTGCAGGATTTAGGTGAGGACACGGTCGGATGAACGTTGGCACGCGAGGAGGAATGGCTACACTATCTACATAGTTTTTGTTTATGATACTAATTTTGTATAAAGAATGTATATGTTTAATAAAAGAAAAATTTGGAGCCAACTACTTATGTTATTATACATGTATTTTATTATGTATATTTTTATGAGTATTTGAGTAAGAAGTAGTTATTACATAATTAAACCCCATAGGTTTTACAAAAATAGAAACATGCCTCTCCCTAGATAGATAGAGTTAAGGCTTTACCGTTAGTTGACAGTTGAGAAAGGTGAGATATGTTATACTTTTCAATCCTCAGGGGAGGTCACTGTATTCTACCAAATATCTTTGTACACAAGAATTTTTCAGCCAAATGCAGTTTTGCTTTCAGCTTTGAAACTGTACTAAACCTTTCTCCAATGACATTAATCCACTTTTCATTTCATCAGAAAAAAATTCTTTTTTTCAATGACAATGTTGTCATTTGATCCAAATAACGTTGTAGTAGATAAAAACATATTAATAAATACTAAGAACTCTTAGATAACATAAAACAACAGACAAGTCCATTAGATAATAAAATATTGGTTATACACTGTCTTTGACAATAAATCGACAATTCGAAATGTTTTTCTTGCATATTCTTGCTAAACCAACGTTTAGATATAGATGTAAGACGATCTATTTAGGACGAAATCTGCGTTTGTAAAGAATTCTCCATATTTTCCAAGATTTTAAAACCCAATCCGTGGGGTGACCCTGTCAAGGGGCCAGATCCTAGGTTGGCCGGTTCAACCATCGGGTCTGACCGTGATGTCAGCATGACGTCAGTAGAAAAATTAAAACACATTCATTCCAAAATCCTATTACATTTCCATGTCAAGTCAAGGTTGAATTTGGGCATCAAATGCAGTCATGTAAAGGGAAAATTACTTATATCATCAATGTCATTGTCGTCATCATCTGTATCAGCATCTACAAAAAATTTCAAGCAAAAATAACATTATAAGTTCAAATTTGTTATTGTAAACTAAATTGGCAAATGTAATTTAAAATTTAAATAACTAAATTAACCCATTGCAGTGTGCAAGCTAATGAGCACATCACAACATTAACCCACTGCATTGCAATAAAAACAATGAAATCCAAATCAAACACAACACACAAACATACATTAACCAACTTCTTTAATATCAAGCCCATTCTCACAGCAAATAATCTCAAACCCTAAACTCACTTCTTCAATATCAAGCCTCCATCTCTACCTACTCCAATCCCTCCCATGCAACAAAAACAAAACACAACCAAATTCATTGAATCCCCATTCTCACAGCAAACAATTTCAAACCCAAAAGGACCAAAGCCCACTTCTTCAAAATCAACTGTTCAACCCTCCATCTCTATCTACTCCCATGCAACAAGCCAACAACCCAACAAGAACAATGATAATAATAACAGTAAAAAGTAAAAGAAACACAAACCTCA